ATAATTAAATTTCCAATGTGAATGTTAAATACATTGAACACAAATTTACAATTATTTCATAATCACAAAAAATAATTAAATTTACAATTGAAATGTTATATATATTTAATACAAATTTACGGGTCAGCATTAAATTCGAGAAAATCACATGCAAGCTTCTTTCTCCAATTCTGTATCCACGACTGGTTGATTCCATCAACCTTATGTCCTATACTTAAAAATTCAACGTACTTAATGACAAATATGTCGCAGTCGCCACTGTAATTGAACAAAAATGAACTAGTTCAGTACTGTGTAACTAAAAACTAAATCTGAAAGATGAAAACAACAAAGTTCAAACACTTACTTTACGGACTGTCGTGCTTCGTCGTGTTCCTAACAATCTGCAATCTATTCTTTACATTTATCCCCGCTCGTCTGGCCATCATAGGAACAATTACAGCCACGGACTCCAGGTTTTGCTCCAACTGGCCTTGTGTCAAACATGAATGATCTGGGTCGTACACATATATAATCAAGTCAGGAAAAACGATCTCCAGCGGAACATAGTGTTTATTGATGCACGCTGGAATGTACATATGTGTACAACCTTTCCATGATTTTCCTCCGACACTCGGTGACAGTCCTATCACCCACTCAAACATATATTCTGGCATCGTGTACTCGTTACCCATAAGTTCAAGCGACTGATACTCTATGGTAACGGCACGCAGGAACTCGGTGTTTAATATGATTCGACTATGGACATCAAATAATTTTGGATGTCTTTAAGCTCGATCTCGCAGCAAGTCCATGGCCAGGTCGATGTGCTGCAGCAGGAAACACCAAAAAAGTATGAGTTATTTATTTAATAAACACAAGGTGACGTATACATAAAATACACGAAATGAATAGTTCACTTACATCGTCAGCGAGCCAAGCTCCCGCAGTGGTGATATTGTGGAACCACTTTAAAGGGTTCGAGACCGTCCTTTGACCTATCGTGCGGCTAACTCTATAAAAAACAGGGAGATGTTAAAATAAGCGTAGGCGAGTTAGCGTATAGTGCTTTATTAAAATCATATAATACTTATCTGAGGATAATTCTCCTCCACTCTGTCTCGAACGCTTTTCACTTGGCATTATCCACCTCCCTGAATAAGTTTGGGTGCGTCCCATCGATGAANGCCGACCACCTGCTCCGTCTCGTCAACAGCATGTCTCTTACCCTCAATCACGCCGGGCGTCCTCTCGACCTCCGGGGCCACCTTCTCCGCCCCTTCCATAGGAGCCTCCTCCTCCGTCGCCACCTTCTCCGCCCCTCCCGTCGGGGCCTCCCCCTCTGTCGCCACCTCCTCCACCCCTCCCGTTGGGGCCACCCCCTCCGTAGTCCCCTCTCCCATTCCCATCGGGGCCACCCCCTCCATAGACAACCACAATGAATCCAATGTATCATCACGCCAAAAATGTGGGCGACCCCCCTCTCCATCACCATCTCTGCCACCCTCTCGATCATGATCTCCGCCATCCCCTCTGTCCCCCCATCGTCTGCCGGCTAAATCTCCTCTAAGTGCTGCTACTGTATCCTGAAGGTCGACATTGGAAGACTGTAGTATTCCAACATCATGGGATAGATCGTCAACCCTCCCTGTCAACTCTCGTCCCATATCGTTGACCCTCCATGTCAGATCGTCGACCTTCCCTGCCAGATTGTTGACCCTCCCTGTAATTCTCGTCCCAGATCATCGACCCTCTCCGTCAAATCTCGTTGTAGCGCGCCGACCTCCTCCGCTTTAAATCTAGTCAAACGGGCATATAAATCATCACTGTGCCCCAGAAACACACGGGGGAGGTGTCTGGACGGAGGTGATGCAAATGGTGACGGCGATGGCCCCGGCGGAGGTGATGCCACTTGCAGCAGTGATGCCCTCGACGGAGGTGATGCCAATGGCGGGGACGATACTCTCGGCGGAGGCGATGCCAATGGTAGCGGCGATACCCTCGGCGGAGGTGATCGTTGATCAGCTGGACCGCCTTCCTACATAAATAAAATAAAAAATTATTCAATAAATTTATAGGTCGACTATATTCAATAAATTATATTTCATTCACATACCCAATCTCGGTCCAAGCTCGGATCTGACATCTCCTCGTTTGGGGTGTGCGGAATGCCTAAATCCAGCACAAGACCCCGAGCCTCCTCTTCCATCGACGGCGTCAACTCAGGTATGACTTCAAGCTGACATATTGACATTTCAACTACTTAACGATCATGTAAACAAAATTTTAAATTACGTATAATATAAATCACAAATGCATAATACTTACCTGAGGATCGTCAAGAAAGGCCGATAACTACTTCCCAGTGGGACATCCCTCCGCTCGTGATGATCTCCAATGATGCATCCGAAGGCAATGTGTCTTCCCTCGCTGTGCAAAGCGGGCCCCCAGTATATGGACTGTCTCATACACCCAAATCTGTAATACATACACTTATTATGCACAAATGTAATATACTAAAACTTTAACTTTGATTATATTAAACATTTATCTGCACCGCTAAGGGCAATCCATATGTATCGTATTTATGCATCGACCCCCTGGGCCTTGAGTGTGCTTTGGTGAAGACATGTACAGTATTTTCGTAGCATCTCCGGCCCCATGGATAGTTGTTGAACGCATCGATGTCGTCAACAACTTGCAAATGAAAAATGTCGACGGCAGTCTTCTTGTGATGACACCTCATCACACTCTCGAGGATTTAGACCAGCCCAAGCTTCAATTTATCTAGCATCTGGTCGCACCCCCTGATCGCGACCATCAAGTCGGGTAAAAGCACCGACTCATGCGCTTGGAAGTACGTCTCGTACAGTCTATTGCTTCTCTCAATGGCTGTATTGTCGCCCGTAATCCTCAGTCCAGTGATTAATGTAAACTCAAACGTTGAGAAACTGACGACCTTACCCCCGAGGTCGAATTGGAGGGAATCGCCTTCGACTGGCCTCAGAAGCCGACATAGAAGTGCATCGATGATCTGTCCTGAGTACTGCACCTCTCGCAACTGGTACAGTGGCCATCAGAAGGATTGTCGTAGCATATCTCTGTGCTGATCATCGAGCAGCTTCAACACAGCAGTAAAACTCTCAAAGCTACTGTTCCAAATAGCCTTCCCCGCCATCCGTCTCAACTCCCCATCTAAATGATACTCCATCCTACAAAAATTCAAATGTTAGAGCATTGAACAACAGATAACAAGAGAAAGCATAATCTCACAAAATTAAAGGAACCGAATTCTAACTACCATACAATACGCATTAAAATAAATTAGTTATAAAGAAAATTAATTACAAATATTACATTTGAATAATATATTTAAAAAAATCAAATTAAATACATTTTCAAAAAAATTAAAGAATATAAATATTATTTAAATAAATTCGAAACAAAATCAAAGGTAAAAGAACAATAAAAGGAAAGAAATGAATTGTTAATTTCGGACAATATTATCTATTTAATTATTAAATTATATTAAAAAAGTCAATTATAAAAAAAAAATAAATAAATAACATAATTATTATTTAATCAAATTAAAATAAATTAATTATAAAGAAAATTAATCTTGTAATCATTTATAAAATATATTTACAAACAAAAAATTTCAAATTAAATACATTTAAAAAAAATATAAAGAATATTTATATTATTTAAATAAATTTGAAAAAAGGTTAACAGTCGGCCCATGACTGTTAACGGTCTGGACCGGCTGTTAACAGTCGGCCCACGACTGTTAACACTCATGGGCCGATTGTTAACAGTCGGGTTAACCTGACTATTAAAAGCACCGTCTTTCGCGATTCTGACCGAAAATCGCCATTGTCGATGCCATAGGTCCAAAAATTACAAAAAATATCACATTTTTCATCCCAGCATGCCCACAATCTAACACTACTCATGCTTATGATCTAATTAAACCGAATATCATTAAACCTAATAAATATAATATTATTCGATAAATTTTCAACTGGAACATGACTGTGCGAGAAAACTAACCGGTATTCTTTCCGGTGTAGATGCATGGTCGTCGATTTAGCTCACTACGACGGTGGTGTAGTTGGCCAGTGGTTGATTGGACAATTTTCAGACGACTGTGCGTCGATTTTCTTTTTTGGTTGGTCGGTTAGAAAATTAATGTTCAAACAGTCACAGCTTGAAGGGTAAATTCGCCCTTTTAGTGTAAAGTTTTTTTTTTAAACTTAATTTCATTTTTTTTAATTCATTTAATGGGTCAAAGGTCAATGTCAAAATTTGCTACAGTCCAAAGTCCATTTTTGTGTATTTATCCATATATAATTTTTTAGGCAATTCGTACATAATTTTAGTTTTTCCTTTGTGTGTGTGAGAGATGGAGACAGATCAATCCTTTAATTGTCAATTGTCGTAATCGTGAACTCCAGTTGAATGTGAAATCAAATCATATAATAATGTTGGAGATGTAATGGGTTTCGCGAATTCAGTTATGATCTTACATAATTCATCACAATCTTTTTCTTTTTCGTTTTCTTTTGCAAGCGTGAGGGGGAGACGCTGAATAAAATGATCTGGAGTCGGGTCAATTGGTAGGAATTCTGAAAATTTCAGAGAATTTGAACAGGCAATTTCGGTTGTAGGAGTGGGTGGGGAGTTGTACACCCGTAGAATTGGAAATAGGCATTTTTTTACTCCACTGGATTCTGGATAGCAATGTCAACCAGTAGGATGGAGGGGAAAACATAGCAATGTTCTTAATTATCTCCCAAGGATGGGAGATTCTTCGGTGGAACAAACAAAAATTGTGTAAATGACTTGAAGTCTGGGTGATATTGCATGAGATTTTCGATTCAAAACCCTGCCAATAATATACCAAAAAGAATTGGTGATGTACTGGGGTGTTTAAATATAAACCCATTCAAATCTGCAAATTCAAGTACCCTTCTTATACAATAACAAAAATAAGCGTTGACCGTCATAATTTTAAGGTTGCTATGCTATTGGAAGATTTAAAGCAACAAGATTCCCGGACGGAGTGTGTATATGTGCATCTTGCTGTCATTGGCTTGATAAAGTTCTATGTTGGTAGTCAACCTGCAACAATCTTTCGCTTTTACCTGAACTTGAGAAAGGCTAAGGAAACATAGGAACTATGTTCTTCTTTGTGCGAAGAACTGAAAATTTAGCCAAGAACCTGAAGTGATATTAGAGGGAAATGAACATCAAGCACTTAGCCCTTGTTTGAGCCCCATTGTTGGGAAAAGAATGAATTTTTTAATAGTATATTGATGAGAAATATGTGGTTAAAAAATATGGAAAAGTTTTGAATTTACATGTAATATTATTTTATTGAAGAATGTGTGGTTGAAACGATGACAAAACACTATTGGAAAATGCATTTTTTTAAAAGAATGGGGCTCAAACAAGGGCAAAATGTTTAAAATGCCATTTTTGATGCATTTTAATGAAACTTGCAAATCATATTTTTTTCTCAGTAAATCTGTCTTCTGTCATTCTCGAGCATGCACTATTCTTCAGTTAGATTTATACTCAAACATACAATTCAGCCTACTTATTATTCAGAAACTCAAGCTTCAATTGTTTCTTTCATCTACTTGAACTCTGGTATATTAGGGTTACTCTTTCATGACATGTACTCATGCATAGGTGTCAGACTAAGATAATTTAATTCATTGCCTTCATTGTGTTTCTCTGGTACCTTCTGCTTTTTGGATCACGAACAAACTGTTCTACAATGAGTTGTGAGATGTTAAGTAGTCTTGCTGTCTTAGTGTTTGGTATGTAATAAAAGACGATAAATTTGAAAAGTTGGTCATGTATTTTTGGTGCTAAATTCCATTCTAATTTGAAGAGAAGGCAGGCTGGTATAGCAAGGTAAAGTGCTTGTTTGGAAAAGCTTTTAAAAGTTGCAAGGTCGGTCAATAATTTATTTCAACAACATATCTCATGGGACCCGCAACTTTTATCAACTTTTCAATCAATCGTTTCATAATTTGCTTAACATTTATCAAAAACTTTGTCGAACAACACTAAATGTGTTTTTGTAGTCGTGCTAGTTTATTTATTTTTGGAATATGGTTTATGTAAAAGAAATCTTACATTAGTTATTAGGATATAGTAATAAACCCCAGATGCCATCTTGGAATGGAATTCAAATGAATCTAGACTAATTCAAAATTCTGTCCCCTAGGCTAACAACAGTCATATAGATTAAAAAAGTCGGAAGTATAAATTGAAGGAGTATAGTTGGAATATTACATTTTTCAATCAATCAACCTTGAAAGGCGATTGAATTACAAATATATTCATTACTCTTCAATTTTTTATTTTTATACTCTCTTCTAGGTGTCGTCAAATCTAAGAGATCAATATGGCGATTACGGACAATTACAGATGTCTTTTGGGCCATTGTTAACTTCATTGGCGTGTTCTTCACTACAATGTTTTCGGTAAGCTTGCAGTCTTCCCGCGTATATTTTCTGCATATACGTGGATCATGATGTTAATCGTGTGCTCATTTTCTATACTTCTGCAGATGGAAAAATCTGATGCTTACAGGAAAGGATCAGGCGCCAGCAAGAAATGGGATGCTGGTGGTACAGGAGGTCCTGGAGGCGGTCCATACAGTGGGGGTCCACGTGGGCCTCCCCGTGGATTAGACAATGTTCGAGGGATTGACCACAGTAAGTCCCGTCCTGTCCCTACCCCTGAAAGAAAGAATATTTTATACTTCTTTTTTCGTCTTTGTCATTTTTTTTTTCCGCTGAATTCTTCACTCTTAATCCTCAGATTCTCTTCCTGCTTGTGGCTCTTGTTGTGGGTGAGGTGCCAAAGGTATCAGCACTACTGCCATCACTGTTGAGAAATTTTCTTGAACCGGTAAATATTGTTAGTGTTACGTAAAAGTTCTATATTCTGGATGCGACTGGGTCCCAGCATGTAACCAAGTCCAGTTTTTTATGGGAAAAACCACACTTCTTCCACTTCCAATAATAAGACACATTTTGTACTCTTTTCCCGAAATTTTATATCGCTTTGAGTAATCAACCACACCAAGATTGAAATGCACATCGTTAGGACATCCAGTCAATGATCAATCACCCTAGGATTGAGACAGCCTAATTCTTCTGTTGACCAATTGTTGATGATCAATCATCCTAGGATTGAGACAGCCTAATTCTTCTGTTGACCAATTGTTGACTTTATTTTTAACATTTTGATCATAACAAACAAGACTATTATTTTCTAGTCATCAATCTTAAAGTGATTATAGGTCTTCAAAACATTCGATGTAAGAAAAATGCTGCAGATCCCGGGATTAAATCCCGGGCTCCGATCCAGGGGCTGAGGTGGCGAAATCTTAGCCCCGGTGTAGAGGAGCGCGGGCCCCATCTATTAAAGATCAAGGGCCGAGGCATGCGCCACCTCGGCCCTGGAACGGAGCCCGGGATTTAATCCCGGGCTCTGTAGCATCATTCTTCGATGTAATATTGATTGATCGAGTACAAAAAGACCCCTATCAAGACTTTCACATTACGAATCACAAAAATGAAGGTAGAGATGAGAGTCGAGCATTCAAGACAAGAGTTACAAAAGTCAAACGTTAAAGGACGCTCAATAGATTAGACCCTTCTCTATTTATTTTTAAAGGTATGACCGTTTCAATTCTTAGCAATAAATGATAAAAACTCAAAAATCATTTTTATGCGTTAAAAGTTATATTGATCATCACTTGCAAAAATGATCTTTTATTAAAAGTAAAATTGATATTCAAGGTTATAATTGAATTTAGATCATAATTTGAAAAATACTTCAATACCTTACATTGTTCAAAAAAATTCACTTCGGATCAAATAGAGTTAAAACGAACTAAAATTATGAAATGCAGATGTTCGGATCAAGTAGTGAACGTTTGAATCATCTATGCTAACGTTTGGTTCATGTAACGATCACTCCTTTTACTGTTCTAATGTTTGGTACGCAATTATAGTTTCGTACCTCCGAACACATAAGTAGACTTTCGGTTGCTGTCCAATTTTACAGATATATTTACTCGTTGAACTATATAAATACATTCATTTTTTGCACAACCTTGCTATAGGTTAAATCCCTGTACCTACTGATCACTTACATTCAAAGGCGGGAATTTTTTTTTTTCAATATTTTATATACGGGCCCACTCTCATGTGAGTGAGAATTCAAAAATCTGTAAAAAATCAGGTAAAAATTTTCTGTACTTGAAGAATTTTTATTTTTTGCATCCATTGCAATTCTTTTAAGAGCATTAAAGGAAGGCACTCTTGAGCAATATTATATTGATCATACATCTTATTTATTATCAAATCAATTTATTATGAAAATATTTTGATAATTTGAATCAAATTCTTTATTCATCTTCATTATCAAAGTTTTCTAATATAATATTTTGAGCTTTCATTTACTATTCATTGAAGTGTTTTTCTCTCTTAGTACTTGATATGTTTATATCAATTATTAACAGAAAATTTTCAAATTGTAAAATCATTTTTGTTCAAATTTTGGGGGTCATATTGAGGTCCCTAGAAAGGTGGTTTCGTAAAGCTCAATATTGTATAATGATCGATGTTTTTTGTTTGTAAGTCACCAGAAGTTTTGTAAGGCTTTGGATTGCTCTATAAGTCAATCAAAATTGGTAAAAAGGCCTTGTTCATAATAGAGAACTTAGTAACGGAAAACGTAGATTATTGTTTTGGATTGAACTTCCACAATTATATCGTTTGCACAATTTCTTCCCTTTTATTTATCACTTTTGTATTTGTGTATAGTTACTTGATTGCTTTATTCATTCATAAATTGTCTAAATTTCGATAATTTTTTTAAAAAAGTTTCGAAAATCAATTCACCCCCTCATGATTAGTTATTCTTGGATATCTTCTTCTTCTTTGAGATCAGGTGTAATAGTTCTCTATTTCGCTTTATCCCCCGGCATATTCTCTTTAGTGATAACGATCGGCCCAAGAAGGCCGAATGTATCAGAGTTCCCAAAAGAAATGAAATAACAATTGTGATAATGGAATAAGCGTATGCCATCCAGGGGTGCTCACTCTTAATCAATTCAGCCAGGAAAGTAGAAACAGTAATCCAAATTGTAATTTTTTTTGCAACATTAACTAAAATTCATCCATTGTTAGAAAAGGAGATTCCAAGGGAAAGAGAGAATTAAAGATAGCCTAGTAAAATATAAATTTAATTTCTCTTTAAAAACCTTGTTTTTATGTCAAACTGTTTGATGAATCGACGCATAATAGAGGAATACTCTATGGTGAGGTGAATTAGATAACACTAGATATTTTTAACAAAGAAAAGAAATCGAAAACTCGCATTTGCGTCTCATACTGCATTCTCAAATTCACGCTCCTTTACTCAAAACCAGGTTAATATTTAAAGACGATGCATTCACACTCTTTTAAGGGTCGTGTCATTATATATTTCATGCCCCATCGAAGGCATCTAAACAACAAATGAGATCTAAAACCCACAATTTTGCGTATCCTTTTATTGTTGTATTTCCATGTCAATGTCAAGAAAGTCGAAAGAGTAAAGCCACTTGACAAAACATATGGAGTCTCACATGAATTGCACTCTGAAAAAAGCCCCAGGTACAGGTTTATTTTTACAGGCTTTTGACAAGACGACGTCGTGTAAGCACCCTACTGGCCTTTTTTCTCTCTCTTTTTTTCTTCCAATGGAGACTCGTCAAGTGTTATTTCTGTAAAATTTTTGTTGATTTTTTCTGTACTTTTATTATTGTTCTTGCACATTTTATGCGTCCAACCATCTCCTATCATCTGTGCCCATATCCTCTCACTGTTTAAGATTTCATAACCCTTGTCAAGTTTTGGTTTACTTTTCCTGCTTACAAGAAGAATAATACAAAAGTTTGTGGATATTTATCAAGTACTAACTAGTTTGCTTGTTTTTGTTCTAAACATGTGTTCCTTATTCAATTCATGTGTTGGTTATGCATCTCTTTAGTTTGCACATTATCTTCTGAAATGTTTGCTTTTTATTTTCGGACATGATTTGAAACCTTTTGGAAACATTTTATGAACCAGAAGAAAGTTTCTTTATTTTTTTATTTTTTTTTATGAAATTCATAAGTATTACAGAAACTTTTAGACCAAAATGCTCGAAAACATTGATTAGAAATTTCACTTTGTTGTGGATTTTGTTGCAAGTTTCAACAAAAAATTAATTTAATTGCAGGTTACAACCAAAAACTAACTTAATTACAAGTATTAACACAAATACTATTCTCGTCCTAGTTTTCCCAAAACTAATTTTCTCACGTGTCGTGTTGTGTATATATATATATATATATATATTTTTTTTTTTTTTCATCATTTTACCTATTGTACAAGTTCACTATTCTTAGCTTGACATGTTCCTTACTCTAGAATGTTGTGGTTTATTTGTAATGTTTCATCACAAAATTTGACAGTATTAAGGAATTTTTTTTTTTTTAATCAAAATATACTTTTAGTAGAACTTAATAATAATGAGCGATATATTAGTTTACAAAGTTATTTGGTGATATTTTGGTTGAGATTGAAATTCTCAATAAAATCTTAATGTGAGTCCTCTCTGCAAAAAAGAAGGTGGTCATGTACGGCAACAAAAGAACACCAATGGCTTACACCATGCATCAATATCTTAATGTGAAAGCCTCCTATTATAACACCATGTGGGGACGAATCTAGGACTTCGACTCAATTAGAGTTGTCGTTGATCGTTGGCCATTGATTGTCAATAGTTAACGATCGTATAGCGATACCGTTTATTAATATTAAATTAAATAATATTAAAAATTCTTCGATTTATATGTAAATACACTACAACGTAAAAATTGTATATTTATATCATATTATAGTTCAATACGATCCGAAATAATATAAATTACATGATATATAAGACTTATTTGTGTTATCAATGCTTAACAAATCGTTTGCCTGACTAAAAATAGTTGAGAGATTAGATATGATTAGATATACCACTACAACAACTAGATTGAAATTCAGTTGAAAAAATCATTCCATAATCAGTATGAGAATTGAATGTTAATCAAAGATTAAACGTAATTAAAATTAATTTTAAAATATAATTAAAGTTTCAATTTCCAATTCCTAACACCAATTCATCACAAATTATAAATTTTCCAATTTCTCCTTTTCAATTTTCATAAATCACATATTCACATTTCATGATACTCAAATTAATTTTTAATATCACAATTCACAGTAGACAAATTCTCAAATAACATATAAATTAAAACTTAATACTCATAAGTCATATCTTATAAATTATTAAAGCATAAAATATTTAAAACGACAAAAACCAACAAAAAATAAAATAAAATAGTCATTGCACAATGAAATGGACGGAAAGGGATCGAACCCAAGATTCGCAATATATAAATGCAAGCTCTAACCAACTATGCAGAAGATGGGTTTGAAAATAAAATGAACTACCAGTTATATAACATAAAATTTTTATCTATTATTAAAAAAAAATAAAAAAAATCTTCCAGACGAATCCGGCTAGTTTAGCCCACCACCTAAATCCACCTCATTCGTTGGCTCTATGTGATCTATCGAATATTTCTTTCACCAATGCGGTCGAATCCTAATTTTGGAAATAAGTCGGGGCCTTTTCACTTTGAGTTCTTGGCTGAGTGGTAAGGCGGAGGATTGCAAATCCTTTTCCCCTATTTAAATCCGGGTGTCGCCTGATCAACAAATTATCACATTCGATTCAAGGAGATGAAGATCGTGCGTTCGACCGCCGAGAAGTGGATAGAAAGTTTCTCCAGCCCTTTCCTAATCGGGGCTAAAATCTCGAAAATAAAAAATGCCAAAATAATAATAAGACTTGATATTATTAGAGCCACCGATACCATGCATAGTTAGGGATGTCAAGCCACCTCGGTGGCTCGGCT